AGAAAGGAAGCTGCCGGCAGAGAGCTGTATTTAAAATCAACCTGCTTCTTCCTGTTCAGTAGTTTATGTAAAAGTACAAAGTTATGTTGAGTTCACATTAAATACAAATAAAATGATTTGCTTGGATAATTCATGCCTTTCTGACTGCATTAACATATTGTGTTTACTTATTTAATGAGGGCGAATAACTTAATCCAAACATATGGAGTGATGCAAGGGAAGATGTTTTTTTTATCATATTATTTCAATCTGTTTAACATCAAACATGGCTAAGGTTGACTACAGCATTGAGTTTTGCTATGTTTTAACATATTACTGAACAGTCCTACTGTCTTCTTATTATTTCAGTTTCAACATTAAAAACATGGTGGTATCTTAAAGCCGAGGAAGCTGTGCAATGTCACAATCAGTTTGTCCTCCAATTTCCAAATAAATGAACCCTCACAGAGCCTTTGTTGGGATACGTTACCAGGGAATGTCCATGCTGGTTGATTTATGTGATTGACACGAATTCGTAGTTGAAAATGTAGGATGCTCTCTACAGTCTACAACGATCAGGAACTCTTAAAATATGATAAGACTGATTGTAGACTTTTCAACGATATATTAAGTCACACCCAGATTAAGGCTCCATTTATACGTACCCAGTTATTTTTAAAAACGTAGACATTAATCATCGTTTGCACCATTTGATTAGACGCAAACAGAGAATTCGCCCCTGAAAATGATGCTTTTTAAAAAACTCCGATCAAAGTGGAGATTTTGGAAAACTCTGTTTCACTTTTGCATGTAAACAGAGAAAAACTGAGGTAAACAGAGATTTGATTGTGCTGAGTTAAATGTGACATTGTTTACAATCTACAGTCTATGTTTACACTCTATAGTGATCATGGATTCATTTAGAGTAGCAGTCGCATTTATGCTGGTGCAATCCCTCTATATTTGTTTGCATTTGCATCTTTTACAAAAGAAGGAAGTGACGTTGTTGTTGTTGCTGCTGCTATGTGGGATTCTGATTGGCTAATGTGGGCTTGAGCTTCGCGTTACACTACCACCTACAGGTTTGACATGCTCTTGATGGCATGTATACACCGGTTAGTGTAAACAAAAACTTTTTGAAAACGTAGTAGTGTGCATGCAGTTTTGTTTTTTTGTAAACGGAGAGGGTGAAATGTCCGTTTTTGAAAATAGTCAGGCACGTGTAAACGTAATCTACATGTTCAGAGGGCTAGCCCAGTATAAATGTAGGTTTTAAAGTCACTTGCAGACTATGAACAAACTCAAAATTAACACAATTTGAATGCTGGTAATGGTCAGTCACCACACAGCTAGTGGGATTGGATAATAATTCAATTGAATGTTTAAAGCAACTTTTAATAAAGCATTTCTATTCTGCAAAATAAAGATAGGATCATTTCTAGTAGTAATAATATAATGTAATGTCATGTGGCGTAAATGGGATGAGATAAACCTCATTAAATGTGAAAGTTGGCTGAACAGATGGTGCTCTGTCCACTAACTGAGAGATCAGAAGATCAAATCCGTCTAATGGCTAATATGTGCCGTCACTGCCATGTTCCTCGTCCATGTGTCCTTGAGCAGACACACATGCATCTCCTCTCATAAGTAGTATCCTCTGTAACGGTCAGAAGCTTGAGTTTAGTACTTATTTTTTGTTCTGGTTTGTGTTAAAATAAAGACAACTTTTAGGTTTCCTCTTGAGTGTAGAATTATCCAAGAATTAAGAGAATGAACCCACATGTTTCACTGGTTTTCACTGGCCAGTCACAAATATCCCAGAGAAGAAAACATGTGCTATCAATAAGCAGTTATGCTAGTGCCAAAATGACTTCTGCTTCATTTTTGTTCCATTACAACACAGCTCAGACATTCAGTTTTGAAAGCAATAAATCTCACTACCTGCTCTTTCAGTGCCTGAGTCACTGATACTAAATAATGCTTCTTGCTCAGACCTGACAGCAGGATCTCCAGGCAGTGCTTTTGAACTGCAGCACTTAGCCTTGATAGCTAAAATGCTGCCCTTTTATTGCATATTTATTTACCTTTTCACTGCTTTAAGTGGGAACACGGTGAGCTGAGTAAGGATGTGTTGTCACCTTCCTCCTCTTTGTCTCATTTGGTAAATAAAATGTAAAATAGCGGCCGGCTGCTGGGGAAATAAAAATATGTATAGAATGAAACCGTCAGACCCATATGGTGCCAAATGTTCAAAGGACACTGATTGCAGAAATAGACAGAGCCAGCTTGCCTGCAGAGCTGTTCTGTCCCATATACAGACTGTGGTGTTTGCAGGCTTTCCGACAGACAGATGCCATCTTGATGTGTTTAAGTGGGTTGTCGTCCCCTGAAACACTCCCCATCATGCCTCATTTTGGCAAGAAAGCAGCAGTTGGATTGTTACCAGGGAAGGGAGATTGTAAGGATCATGTCAGGGAAGGGTACGGTGTGTAATGCCTTGTCTTTCCATAGATTTCCTTTTGATTGTGACTGTGTGTTATCTTAATGTTTCTTTAGATTCTTAGGTTCCATACACTTGTTTCCCAATATTTAAAGATCCTTTCATGGAGCGTTTATCATAACTGAAAAATTGAAGGTGTTTTTGGGGGGCGGGGTGCAGGGCGACATAAAGGCATGGACAACATTTATTCATATACCAGTAAATACTTTGTACCTCATTCTTGAGCCTGACAAAAGTTCACTCTGATTAAAGTCAGCAAAGGCCAAATTATTAGACGGTTCTCAAGATTATCTTAACAGACTATCCTGTAGTGTAAGGTGTGCTAGAAGTAATTTTGCCTCCTTCCCTGTTTGGATTTTAAACAGTTAAAATGTTCAATATAATGAAGAGAAATCCTTATGAGCAGGAGGAATCCCTGAGGATTGCCAATTACGCACGCTGTCTATTGTCACATAGGACAACTCGATAGCCAATCAGGAAACGAGCTGACGGAAAGAGGAAGCGCAACAAATGCAACCATGGCAACAGTTGTAAATGCAAAGCATAATCTGAGATGAATGGCGGGAATAAAGAATCCACCTGTTTGGTATGCTGCATACAGCGACAATATGAATGTTCAGTATAATATAATACGACTGAATTGAAAGGGGGGTGGCTGAAAAGAAATAGCTTCTTCAATGGAAGTACCACGAAGCTCAACAGATTCATTCCTGGTAGCCGGACAGTGGACCAACTCGTAACCCTTGCAAAGCTTTTTGGAGTTTGCTCTTCCAGTCTTGGGATGCGCCACTTCAAATGAGGTTGGTGCAAAGAATCATAGGTCATGTGATTTAACAAAAGATGGTCAAGAATAAATGCTAAAGGTAGTAATAAATAAAGCAATGAAGCCCCTATCTTTAATATTTAGAGACTTTGAACAGGTCTTTTAGCGGCTGACAGAAAAACTTCTAAGGCATTTGATTTCATCATGAAATTACAAAAGGGTACAATTTAAATGGATCCTTAGTCTGGAGAGTCAAACAATTGATGAGACGTTAACTGAATTTTGTGCATCCAGTGATTTATTGACTAAAATTAAACTGTAGAGAGGTCTATTTGAAGAGGACAAGATGGTTTTGTTTTGAAATGCCAAAATTGAGGACATATAACATCTACATGTTTTTTTGTCAATGCAAGTATCAAAAATCTTTGGTTACATTTGGGAAAAGACCAAGGTAAGGCTAACTAAAAAACAGAGCCATCAGGCATGGTGGTGCCAGACAGCTCCATTATTTATCCACTAATTGGAGGGAGTACCTTTCTTTTGGACCTCTAGTGTCTGCAGTGCATTTTCATTAGTCTTTTTCTTTATTGCACCACTATATATTGATGAAAGTACAGCCTTTTTTTCTGTTAAATAGTCATCGTGACAAAAGCCCCTAATATTACCGTGGGCATATTCTGTCAGTTGAAATTGAATGACATGTCAGTCCTGGTTTCAATGAGGCAGTGAGGAGGGGAATGAAACAGAGCAAAAAATGCCATATGACAGGACAGCTGTCAGGGAATATGCTCTCTTCTCTTGCTCTTTGGTTTCTTTTAAAGTGTACCAGGAGGCCTCATGGAGTTGGCTACCAGCTGAAGCAAAGAAGTTATAATTTGGCCTAAAAAGTCAATTAAATCCGTGCACGTATGAACAATTAAGACAACAAACCCATGGTAAAACAAAATAGCCCAGCTTACTTGCCATACTGCTTCTGCCACTGCCTGGTCCTCTGTCAGGATTCTGAGTTCAGAATGACGGAGAAGTAGTTTGTTTAACTGCCAATTGAAAAACAAGCTGTTTCCGTCCTGTGTGACTACTGCTGAGGCAGATTCTTACAGAAAAAAAACTCACTATGAGGCAGCTGTAATTATGCCTAAATGGAGATATTTTTCTTTGAGGATTACAACTGCCACCAATCCGATCCCGTAAAGGGAAGCCAACTTATACGCACTGACAGCCAGAAAAATATGGAGCCACTGTCTAGAAGACAGGATGTGGATTAATTTCCAGCAACTTTCATTCCACACAGGCAAACACTTTTTGTAACCAGGATGAAATAAATCAGTGTACTGAAATAACATTTTATTTAACATTTCATTTGGCACACACCAAAGGCCTGAGCGACAGGATTTGTGGTTACTAAGGTAACTTTAGAGACAACTCTTGTCACTTATTTTTCTTTTTGAAGAGAAACGTCCAAAACACATGAACACACACCACAAAGTAACACATGGATTTAAGGGAAAAGAGTTGATATACTCAGATCCATTATGTAGTAATGGTGGGGATGTGTTTTGATCATGTGCATTCACTGCGCATTTTTTCTGTTTTCCCTTTATTTTGCAGATGTGCCTTTCACTAATTGTTACTGATTTTTACTGATTGCTTGTGTTTAACTCATGTTTCTTTTTCATTTCTAAGAGGTCTTGAGCTTGCAGGTGAAGGTAGGCTGTTGGTGGAGGCTGGGGCCAACAACCATTTGGATAGGCTTCTGACATGTCTAGCACCAAACACTGCTTGTTCGGGCTGCAGGTGGGCTGCAAGCGGGGGTGGATGCTGGCTGGTACCACAGGTGATGGTGGCAAAGAAGGACATTTGCAGACTTCAGCTGGAGGTGGAGGCTTCGAGTGCACGGCAGAGACGGTATATGAGGCATCGGCTTGGGCTGTAAGCTGAAAACTGCAAGTGGTGGTATTTGCTATCAGTGTTTGTCAGAGCCTGTGGTTGAAGGTCACAAACTGCAGGTGGAAACAGCTGTTGTTTGCCGGGAGAGAATGAGACGGAAGTAGAGGAGGCAGCTTTACTTTATTTTGTACAGGAAGAAGTTGCGACCCACGGTCTCTGGCAGAGGCAGCAGGTGCTATCTAGTCCTGGAAGTGACTGCAGGTTCCCGGTACAGACTTGGGTTTGAGTAAGTGGCTGCTGCAGTACAAAATCACAATTTTATGACAGATGCTTTTATTCAAAGTGACGTACATCAGCGAGACAACACAAGCAAGGATCCTGACAGAGGGAAACAAAACTGCTCTAATCAGATCACACTGACAGTGCTTAAAGCAACACACAGGGTTTAACTTTTATCTTCATGAAACCTTGAACACTATCATCAATTTCTCTTAACATCATCTTCAAACTACCAAATGCTGAGTTGTTCACAAAAGCCTGAGTCTAAAACTTTCTGTGGATCCAGTGGAGTTTGGTCATTCATTCCACCACAGGGGAATAGGCGTGGGGTAAAGTTAGCCAAAAACTGCAAGTAAAGGTTGTCACAGATTGCTGGAAGAGGCTTGTAGACACTTCAGTCTCAGTCTGTGACATCAAGGCATTAGTGGCAGCTTGTTTTTGCTTGGCGGCGAAGACTTCTATTGTTGTGTGTGTTGGCAAACGGTCTGTTTTATACCTCAGATGGAGAATGAGTTTGACAGAGGCTGCAATTGGAGGTGGAGGCTGTTGGTGCTTGAAAGAGATCACTTTTGAAGGTCTGGGCTGCAGATTGTAGAGATTACAACAAATTGAAGATGATGCAGTTGGCTGTCAAGAGCCTTGAGTTGTGGGCATTAATGGTAGCTTCCTCTAAAGAGGACCACAGTTGAAGGTAGAGGCTGATGTTTGTGGGAGCCGTTTGTAAGTTTTAAGGCAGTAAAAGCTGCTGGCACATGTTGGAGGACACGTGTGCTATTAAAGGAGGATGACAGGGTTGGATATTTGGTCAAGTTTTAGTCTGGTTAGAGACTGTTGGTCATTGAGGCAGGAGTTCAGAAGAGACTCAAGGTCGGGTACGGATAAGGTCTTGAAGGTTGTTGTACTTAGTTAAACCACTATGTATTTTCCTATCTAAACTTAAACTTATAACTACAGTGATATTTACAAGTAGAGAGTGCAGACTTGAAGATCCTCACTCTCTTTGTGGTTGAAGTCTCGGGCTGTGGTTCATATGTCGTGTCTACATCATAGAGGGATGGATAAACTCCAGCCCCGTAACAAACGTTCACATGAACATGCCCATTCTCGCCCACAACTGTGGGCCATCCAATCCTTCCCACAGCTTCTGCATCAAATGGCATCCCAGTGCAGGGCCGTTCTTGAGAGGAACCTCGATTATATTATGTTGTTAGGTAAAATGTTTCCTATCAGGGCCTGTGATGGTGGTGGATTCTTGCTTTTTGTTTCATACATATCTAAACATGTCATCTTCCACGGCATGGTAGAGCTGCTGATACTCTTCCACTGACTGATGGTGTATTATCAGTCTAGAGGGCTAGAAACTCTGGACCACAGAGGAGACTGGAGGCAGCTCAGATAGTGGAATTGTGGACTAAGTCCTTGGGATCAGAGGAGGACTAGCATCTTGGGCGTGGGAGTGCAGGTCAGCTCTGTGGAAAGATTTAAGGTATAGACCACAGAGGTCCTTTTCCTGAGCTGAATGATGGTACAGCAAATCCTTGAGAGGAACTCCAACAAACAATATTTGTATATTTCCCAGAAACAAACTTTAACAATCTCAACAGAAAATAATATTTTCCAGATTTAGAAAATGGGGGTGAAAATGCAATTTATGTCGTTCTGAATGAAAAAACTAGGTGCTGATTGGAAAAAATGTTAAAACTTTTTGCTGGTGCACCAGTTTTGATCAATGTACATCGAGAAAACATCAACACAAAGATCATGTTGTCATTTCCAGCTCTTTGGAACATAGTTTAATACAGCCTTGTTGTGGCCTCTTGTCATGGCCATAGGTCACTGTGTTAAGGTCAGTTCAACCAGGTAAGAAAAAGACACGCTCACTTTGTTGTAGGAGCTCCTGGAGGAGGCAGTTACAGAGTATATGCTACTGACGTACAATATATAGAAGGAAACATTTACAAGGACTGTGTTTTTGGTATAATGAGTAGCCTACATTTATTTCCAACACTCTTTAGATATACTGTGGGTGGAAGAGGCAGCAGTGGATGCGGTAAGTGCTGCAGTGGCTGAAGCTCACTGTAATTTCTCCAGGACTCGCTGTTTTAGTTTGTAAATATTTTTGTTGCAAAAATGCCTCAATTTTCAGCCTCAGATGAGAAACAGAAAGCAGCCCTGGCCTCTGCCAGCCTTTTAATTGTTGCTTTTGGTCATTTCCAGTCCAGCTCAAAACAATTAGTGGTGATTGGATCAGTTCAGAGAAGTCTGAAGTGGCACTCTGGGGCCATGTTAGCCGGGGCAATCTGCGATTAAGAGATTAACAGTCTCATTATTTCCTGGGCTGTGGCAGCAGGAAAGGTATAGAGTAGATGAAACAGTAGACAGTTCAAATGAACGTGGAAGAAATGCTGCTGATGAGATTTAGGATTCATTATGGATCTTTTGTGCAACTCTTATCTCTGCTACACTTTCTTTTAGTGTAGAGGTCTGATCTTGCCAACTTTTAGGACACCTGCTCTATTGAAACTGCTCTGCTGCTCCTGGTTTCCAACAACAGAGAAATCCAACGAGCCAAATGTGAGAGAGGCTTAGTGAACGAGTTAATGATGCACAGCTTTAAAACCATTCTTTTTTATGAGAGGCTACAAATCCAGACCTTTATTATTTTCAGTTTTCTCACCAAAAAGAAGATCACAGGAATAAAAGGTGTAGCATCAAGGGAAGGAACAAATTCCAGAAGTAGCTTCAACACAGAACACCACTACAAAACACTATGATCAAAAACATAAGAAGGAATGGATAAAGCATGAGCACTTGTTTTTAAAATAATGCTTATACGTCTCATTTTCTTCCATTCAGTAGCATTTTGAAAAGAAAAGCTTGACATGAGTAAGAGCAACTGGAAACTCTTGACTTGAAAGGAGTGTGGTGCGTTTCTCTTCAAAATGGACCACCACCATTTATATTGACAAAACCCCTTCTCGACTCTGATTGGTCAATGATCAAGGAGTCACATTGATGAGTGCAGCGGTGTTTCAAAAGTTGAACTATTTTTAACTTTGGTTGCTAAGGCTGTGTGTGTTTAAGCACTGAGGATGATGGGTGCTGAAATGCTTTGATGCATGTGGTATGGAGAAAAAATAGGTGCTGCAAATGCAACAAAAATGGTTTAAGTCAACACAGCACCAAATATGTGTAATGCACTCGAACACACAATTGAAAACATTGTTTTTATTGTCCTCAAAGGAGGGGTGAGAAAACTGTCCAGTATATCCTTCCTAGGGTGCATCTACACAGATGTGAGGTGCTCAGTTGTATAATGATGCTGGATTTGCCTGAATAGGTTCAAACTCCAGGAGTATGAGGCTCACAAGAAGGCACAAACAGCATGTTAACATGTTCTAAATAACTATTTTTTACCTCAGTCCGACTGAAACACATTTGTACAACTGTGATCGAGCTAAACTAAACTCTCATTGTTAGACTAACGTACCTGGATAATGCGGGTAGGGATCATTTATCTCTTCTGTGTTAAAAATTCAATCAGACTGAAACTGACCCGAGCATTCTTTGCATGCTCCAGAGTTTGCAGACGGGTTTTGAGCTGCACAAGTTGCAAACAAGCAGTACAGAGCTGTGCAATTGTCCGACATACATCCTTCTTGTTTTTTTCAGTTGTTCTGATAGTGATATGTTCAGTGTCATAAGAAAACTTGTTTTATTTGCTGTTGCAGAAGTGAGACTGATCGAAATACAACCCACAAGGGAAAGACAATAAAGATGAAAATGCACAGTCATAACACAAGGCCTTGAATGTGGCGGAGAAGTAAAACACTGACGAAGAAAGAGGCTGCCATGTTTTACCCGACAACAACAAAAAAAGGTACAAATTAGTATTTTTTAATATCCTTCTGTCTGTGCTGTGCTGATGATATATAGGAGAGAAACAAGTCAGATGAAATCAGTCTGTTGTTATGGGAACAAGTTGAACTCTTCACCTTTTTTTCCTACTTTGCCCAATTATTTCTGCACCTAACATTTTCTCAGGCACCTGGATGCTGCACGCAAACACATGCAGCCTCACACAGTGAATCAATCTGCGAACATTGCACACACACACATACACTTATATGTCAGACCTGCAGTTCTTAGCTGTCAGTTCACGGGGAGCATTCACTTACTTCTTGGTGCCACAGTTTGAACCATCAACAGTTCAGGTATTGATCATCTTGTCTTCTTCCAGATCATCAAGAAAAACACACAACAGAGGGCTCAGTTTTTTAAAGGTCAACAGGGTGGACAGGTATCACTTCTCTTACTTTGAAATATCTTCTATATTTGACAGAAAGGTGGCAACACAAAGTTCTCATAAGTGGTGAACAAAAGTACTAAATCGAACATGTAATGTACTTTGATAAAAGTACATTATTTTAATACTTGTACAGGTATGTCAATGAAGGTGGAGTCCTTTCAGAAGTTCTAGATTATCATTCGTAAATCCTTTGCTGATGGGGTCCTCAGCCATGATCTGAACCAGAGAAGCCTACACTCGCTGTCACACCCGTAAGTGTTGCCATAGCGGCAATCTGAAGCTGCAACAGTGAGAAAGTTCAACACATGTCGTCTTCAGGTGTGATTACACTTGCAGCTGAGTCAGATTCCTTCTGTCAGAACCGTGGCTGAAATATTCTCAATACGACATCTAGATTAACGTTCACGCTCTGTGACAATAAGGACAACAACTATTCATAACCAAAATATGGAAA